TAAACAATGTCTTTTGGTTAAATGCTAATTTTGATCTCTCAACTTTATAGAGTTACACCTTTTTTATCCTTCAACTATTTTTTATACTTTTTTTTATCTCTCAACTCCAAATAGTGCACATTTTTTATCTTTTATCAGTTAGTTCTGTTAACTCAGTCCACATGGCATTTTCTTTTTTCTTTATTTTTTTGTAATGACATGTTAATGACAAATCATACAATTAGTTTGGTGAATAATGCCAAGTCAGATTTAATTGTCATTTTTTATTCTTTTTAACTCTTTAAATATAAAATTACGAAAATACCCTTAATTTATTTTTCTTACTGATTCACTAAAATTACCCTAACAAGTGTACTAGTCACTCCAAGTAATATAATGATAAGTAGAGTGTCAAACCCACGAGGATTGTAAATAACTAAGTATCAAAATAATTAATCCAAATTTATTTAAACAATCGAAAAAAAAGAAACTTTAATTAAAATTAATAAAAAGAAAATAATAATTAAAATAAAACTAATCAAGATATGAGATATTAAGGTATCGACTTCACCATAATCAATTAATATAGATTTTTTATTATTATACTTTCAAGATATTACTATTCACGTGACAACAGGATTTCCTATCATATTTGATATACTTTCTCAAATTATACAAAACCTATCTTAATCTATCAATCCATTATATTTTTATGTGAATTTAAATAGATAAAGATACATTATGCTATGTGAAATTTCCTAGTTTACATAAAAAATTAAGTTTACTTATTACTAATGCTGAACGAGTCACGTTGATCCATTTCTGGTTTTCGTTCAATTCATAGTATATATTATTAAAAATTATTGTATAAAATCTCATCTTGGTCTCAATTATGCTCTCCAAATTAGTTTTAATGGTGGTCAAGTATTAAAAAGCATTAAGAACAATAATACATACTTATCATTTAATAATAATCTCAAAAGTGTAAAAATCATAAAAACACATATTGAATTAATTAGGCTACATCTTAGCCCTAGTTGATTAAATCAGTTTATAATAAAAATAATAAAACTTGAAATCATAATTATGAACATTCGAATATCGAATAATAGATAAAAAAAATTTAACGAAAAATAAAACCTAATTTAAGGGAATTAGACTTATTGATCTTTTATTATTGATGAAACATCTATCTCAATCTCCAATAATACCCAAAAGAGAGTTGCCATCAACCTCTTCAAGCTCTCCAATTCTGAATTTAAATGGATATTTATAGGATTTAAAAAACCCTAATTGAAATAGAAGTACCCATAATAACCAATTAAACACGGATTTTGTGAAAATTGCGTAAGGAGTCAACACCTTCAACAAGGTGCCGACACTTTCTGTTCAGCGCACAATGCAACCGCCGTGTCGGGTTTTTGGCCTTCTTAGCAATTTCTGTAATGGTCAAATGACAGTCCTGGTCCCTGACTTTTGAATTCTGCACAAGTTGATCCCCAAGTTTTTAATCTCTGTAATTTACTTTTAAAAATTATGATATTTTCCAATTAAATCTTTTCTTACACAAAAAAATAAAATAATATATAATCAAATAAAATCTCATCAAATCCATTCAAATATCAGCAATATAAATAACAATTTCACATTAATATATTTCATCTATTTCTGAGATGGTTAATTGGTGGAGTTTTGTTTCCTCCCAGTGGGATAAGTGTATTCCAAATATAATGGAAGAAACCGCTTACTTGTACTGGTATATATGGAAAAACAGGAATCTAGGCATTTTTCAAGGCCATGCAATGCCACCGCAATTGGTTGTTCAAAAAGCCATGTTTCTAGCAGACGAGTTTTGTAGAGTTAATGGTAAAGACCCCCTTATTCCACCAGTGCTACAACTTCGGGATGGATTAGAGGATAAAGTACAACGGTGGAGTCCACCACCCGAAGATGTTATTAAATGTAATACTGATGCAGCTGTGGATGTTAAAAATGGTGTTGCAGGTCTAGCTGTGGTCTGTCGCAACAGTAGGGGCATTCTTGTTGATGGTTTGGCCTTCAAACAATCAATTAGTTCTGTTTTAATGGTTGAAACTCTCGCATTAAGAGCTGCAGTAGGCTGGGCAGCTCGGAATGGCCTCAAAGACATCATTTTTGAATCTAACAGCAAAGAGCTAGTGCAAGCTGTTAACAAAAAGGTTCATTTGCCTTGGCAAATAGAGCCATTGGTGCTATCCGTGTGGGAGCTGTGCAAGTCTTTCTCCTTTTGTGAATTTAACTATGTACTCCCTCTGTTCCTAAATATTAGTCGTTTTAGGTATTTTCACCAGGATTAAGAAAAGTAATTAATCACTCTCAATTTCAGCAATAAATGTATTTAATGTACTATTTTACCCTTTTTTCCACTTCGATTCTTGAGTTTTACTGGTTCATCTCCCACAAACTTTCACTGCTTCAAATATATCCTTCATTTGGATGGCTTGGAAAAAGAGGTTTTCACTCATTTTTTAATCTCATTCCTCAAAATTTTTCATTCTAGATAATGTTT